TCCAGCCTTATTTACTCCTGTAAAACAAATATTGTTCTATTTGTTTACCACGATTCAAATCTTGTAATTTTTTAATCTAATCTTAACCTTAATTAAACTGAGTCTTATATTTTACATATGACATATGAAAAAAAAATCTGCTGTCCTATAACAAGGCAAGTAATCAGGGATGTAATATAATTACAAAACCTGTATGCCTGTAGTTGGCCCCTTTTAACCCTTTTAAGAGGGTTTCCCAATCTGCCCTGTCCATTTTAATTTTAACCACCTCCCTAGGCATTTTCAGTGAAAAGGTTAGAAATTGGAACAGTGAAATGTCAGCTTTTATTTTGATACTTTGTGCATACTAACATGCTTTTGTTTTCACTCCCCCTTAATTTCAGGTCATCATAAGCATTGAGACAAATTAACTTTAAATAAAGTTTAAAAAAATAAAGGCGGTTGTAGTTCAGGTGGGTAGCTGCGTCAGCATGCGTAGGCTGCAAAGTGTGACACCTGAAGAAGGCTCCACGGCCGAAACGTTGTGTTCTCTTTCTTCTTTTTTTCAGCATGGAATAAACCTATTACTTGTTCCTTAAAAAAATAAAGCTAGTATTTGGTCACATGTCCCTTATATGCAACGACTGTTTCAAGTCTGTAACCTACAGACATCATCAAAGTCTTTATAAAAATAAATACATTTACAATTTAGAATTTATTCTGCTGCTATTATTAGTTGCATCATCATTCATTTTCAGTGAGCAAGTTCCATAAACAGCCATGTACACCCAAGTCATGACACTACCTCCACCATGTTCACAGATAAGATTCAGTGACCATACATGTTGTGAATACAGAACAGAAAAGACCAGAAGACAGATAAGATGGTGTACTTTATCATTTGCAGTTATTTTGTGTCTTCACATTATTGCCTTTCTGTTTCTTTGATAAAGGTTTATCTTTGTTCCAGAAATGTTGTGGCTCATCTTTGTACTTCTTTGCAACTTCTAATTATTAGTCTTCTGCACACAGAGAATTAAGATACTTTCACACCTTCACAATTTTCTGCAATCGCTTTGACTGTTATTTTAGGGTTATTTTAGGGTTTTACACCTATTTTAAAGCTAATGAGAGTGTTCTAAGATTGCTAAACAAGTACAATATGCAAAATAATGAACAGAAACTAAAGCTGAAATTTTAGAATTTAGCCTCAAATCAATTTTCACTGTATTTTTTTATATACAGTATATACTCAAAATGTACTGGGACATGAAATAAATAAAAAAAATTACTCACTTTACAGTCAAAGAATATGAATTTTTAATCACAAGATTAATATTAAGTAAATGATAAGTACAAAATTAAATAATTAATTTAAGGGTAATTTCATGCATTTGAGTGTTACAAATGGGGGATATGAAAATGTTGAATAACAGAAATTTACTGAGCGGCTTAGTCAATAATTAAATTAAATAATTATAACCTCCAAGAATATAAGAACCTGAATGGTTGGTATAAATAGGGGAATTATTTAGTCTCTGGCACAGTTTTGGTGTAAAGAGCAATAATTCAGGCACACTTGGTTAAACAATTTAACAATTTATTAATAATAACAACACAAACACTACACTACACACACCACATAAACATACAACACACAAGTTACTGTATTTACAAGTTTACAGACAAGGTGTTTCAGAGACCTACATCTAGACTACCCCAGACAGCAACTAAGTATTCAACTTAAATAATGCCTTCAGAGGCCAAAATAAGAGATAAGCTGTCTTCTAAACTAAACAGAATAAATTTAAATCTCTCTCTGCAAACTTGAATGCCATAAAATAAATGGTAGCCCTATTCTCCCTATTCTAAGAATGCACCCAGTAAGCAGGAAAGACTGTTTACGGGTGCCAGTACTCAAGGATGGAGAAGGCAGAGTCTTGATTAAAGAAGAACAGATCAAGCAAAGATGCCGGGAGTACTTCAAAAATCTGTTAAATGTAGAAAATGAGAGGGAGAACCTAGTGGAGGCAGACGTAGTGTGTGGACCAATCCAAGAAATGTCAGTAAAGGAACTGACAGAAGCTATCAAAGAGATGAAAGTGGGCAAAGCAACTGGACCATCAGGAATAGCAGCAGAACACTTTAAGAACCTCGATGAAGAGGGGATTCAGTGGCTGACGAGATTGCTAAACAATATTCCAAAGGAAGAGAGAATTCCAGAAGAATGGACAAAAAGCAGTATGGTTACCATCTACAAGGAGAAAGGAGACCCAATGGAGTGTAAAAACTATAGAGGAATAAAACTTCTGGAACATGGATTGAAAGTATGGACAAGAGACTCATGAAGTTAGTCAGGATCCACAACTCACAATGTGGTTTCTCAGTGGGGAAAAGCACAACAGATGCCATTTTTGTGATGAGACAGTTACAGGAGAAGACACTAGAAAAAAGGGAAATAGCTGTATGTGGCCTTTCTGGACTTGGAGAAGGCATATGACCGTGTGCCCAGAGAGGTGGTGTATTGGTGCTTGAGGAAGAAAGGAGTACCAGAAAGCATGGTGAAGTTAGTTCAAGCAACTGTCACGGACGTCCAAAAGGGACAAACCGTGGGGAGCAGGAAAGCGGAAAAAGACCCATATGCGTAGCGGCGAGACGGGAAAAAGGCCCGGGCTCATAGTGCAAAGAGTTCAGGAATGCCGTATAGAAACCTATGCCCTCAGGGAGCGGACGTGGGGCGCCCTGGTGCTAGGCGGGTCTCAGGACATCCGAACCTCAATGCTGAGCCAGGACAGAGTGCAAGACCCGGAAATATATAGCCCAAGGGAAAGAGAGGGACAGGAAGGACAGCAGACCGGAAACTAGGGACAGGTCAGAGAAGGAGCGCCCTCTGGCTGCAGAGGGCATGACAGCAACCTATAGAGATGCAACTACAAAGGTGGTCACACAACGGGGAGAGACAAAAGAGTTTGAAATCACAGTTGGAGTACACCAAGGATCAGCACTAAGTACTTTCCTTTTTATAAACATTATTGACACACTGACAGAGGAGGTAAGAACAGAAGTGCCTTGGGAACTCATCTTTGTTGATGATGTGGCACTGATGGAAGATTCAGAAGTAGAACTAGAGGAGAAAGTGTTTAAATGGCAGAGGAGTCTGGAAAATGAAACTGAAAATGAATGCAGAAAAATCTGAAATAATGGTAATGGAGAGAAGAGGAGATACTATGACCAATGTTGAGGAGACAAATGGAGGAAAACTGAAACAGGTTGATGGCTTTAAATACCTTGGATCAAAACTGGTAAAGGGAGGAGAAACACTGGAGGCAGTAAATCAAAGAGTGAAAGCTGGATGGAACAAGTGGAGAGAAATAATTGGAATAATCTGTGACAGGAAAATTCCTAGAAAGTTAAAGTGCAAAATGTACAAGACTGTGATTAGACCTGTACTACTATATGGAGCTGAACACTTGGCAGTTGGAAAGAGGGAAGAGAACTTGATGAGAATAACTGAAATGAGGATGTTGAGATGGATTCTGCAGATTTCAATGAAGGATAAGATCAGAAATGAAGAAATGAGGAGGGACGCTGAGGAAGTAACAAAGAGGGCAATGGAAATTGAGGTGGAAGGTAACAGGGGAAGAGGCAGGCCTAGAAAGAGATGGATAGATTGTGTGAGAAAAGATATGGAGGTGTGTGAAGTGAGTGAGGAAGATGTGCTCGACAGAGACAAGTGGAGAAGAGCAACCAAAGCAGCTGACCCCAGGACAGTCTGGGACTAAGGCTGTGAAAAAGAAGAAGAAGAAGAAGCAGGAAAGACTGTTTTTAATTTTCTTAATTAAGGGATTCCTTACTCAGAAACTCTAAAGTTCCCTAAAACCTACAGAATAGCAGGCTCTCTTGACAAGGTTCAAATGCTTAGCTCCAATCAGGTCTTTTTGGATGATGTTAAAGAAAAGACCCTCCTGGCACTCTTTTCTGTTCTTCCCTTTTTCTCTCTTTATCTTATCATATATGGTGTCTTTCTGGACTGTTGATTGACATTTCATCATTTACCCAGAACTTATTTAACTGAGGTAAACCAAGATAAACTTTATTTTCTTGATTTCTTTGATCACAGAATCTTGACATCCTGAATCTCAACAAACATCCCCTTTGCTTTGAAGCTGGAGATGTTCATACTGCCAGGCATTACCTATTGTTTCAAGACACACATCCATTGTCACCTACAACTGTACAATATTACAACAAATCACACTTTATATTCATTACAGTAATTTTAAGAGATTGTAAGTACTGGAAGACTTTTTACCTTAACTGTGTTCCAGTGTAGAAAACTTAGTATATGGTTGCATTTGAGCATTGAGTCAATAACTAAAATTTGAAGAGTTCAGTCTCTGCATCCACTCTACGTTCTTCTCTGTTCTTGGGTTGTTCGACAAAATGTATGCTCATTTAAATTTAAATATGGAAATTAATTTGGCAAGTCTAACATGTTTCAATTTTTCTTCTGATGAACTCCTTGGTTGCATTGGCTGTTTGTTTTAGGGCATTGCCATACTAAATGCTGAAGAGCCACTCAATAAGTTGTATTGTTAAGGCATACAGTATTATCATAGAAATTAATTTCTATAATAATACTGTATGCCTTATGAAATGGAAATCTAATAAGTAAATTGATTCTTAAAATGTAAATAGCCTTAAGAAAAAATATAACAAAAATGTAACTGCTGTGCTATATGCAGATTGTCAGAAGACAGTTTGTCAAGACAGAACATACTGTCTAGATTACCAAATTAGCAGAATGCAATTACTGAGCTTTGCAAAAATATGTACTGGCACTTCCTTTTTGTCTCTATGATTGTTTCTATGCTGTAATCTTTCTCATCCTAAGGAAAGAGGAAGTATCAGAAAGGGACTAAGTGCTGTATTTTTCCACTGCATTACAACATCTTTATAAAAAGCCTGTGCTGCCTTTAGCAAGTTGAGTCTCTGACGGACTCTGCAGAGTGACAGCAGGGCTCCTAATATTGCAATATTGAAATAAAGACCTTACTCAGGTTAGAACTCTCTTTTGTGGCCTCCTTGACAGGTATATTTCCATGACAATTTTGGGGGCTCGTCCGGGATCACAAACCTGAGCGCGGAAGGCTGCGGAAACTCCATCCGGACCCGGACAATTTTAGCAAATTGGACGGACCTCGGGGGATAAACTGTTTATCCTTCCAGAGACACATCTGGAGAATTCACGGCTGTTTGACGTCAGTAAGTGATCCTTTTAAACAACCTATTGCTTTAGACCGTAGAAATCTTACTATAAGCCTGGGGCTTCACAGGTCTGGGACCTGGTGAGCCTGGGAATCAAGTTAAAAAAAGTTGAGAGAACCGTATTTCCTGTGGTTTTGTTGCAGAGAAATAGGAGGCCGGTGAGGGTGTTCTCATGTGGGTTTGATGAGTCTTGGAGTCATATAAAGAACTTATCTTAACACAGACGTGTGGTTAGTGCCCTGCGGGGTAGTTAATGTGGTAAGGTTCTAAAGTAAGGCATCGGTAAAAATGGGGAATGAAAATTCAAAAAATGAAAACGGGACCGAGTGATCCAGCAAAATACAGGTATGATAAGTTTGGAGAAATGGGAATAAAGTGTCTTCCATTATGGAGTAAGTTAGGTTTTCCAGAAAATGGTAGTTTTAGTACCAGACAGATACAACTAAAAGAACAGTTAAAAGAAAAGGGAACCAAGAAAGTCGACTGGAAGTGTTTTGAGCTGTGGAAAACTGAAGCACAAGTTAGAGAGAGACAAAGTAAACTGGGCAATAGTGGGAAGAAAACGGAAACACCCATGGACATAGTGGGAAGAGAATATAGATGAATATACTGTCAACCTTTTACTGACAATATGTCAGGGTGGACAAGTGAAAGATGGCCCCATGATGGTAGTTTTCAGCCATGGGCCAAACAATTATTATACCAAATGACAGATTCGCCTAACCCAGGGGGAGACCCAGGGTGGGATTATGAGTATATGTGTAAATGTGTAAGTGTGTGGGATGAATGTGCTAAAAGGCATGAGATAAAAAAGGGTAAGAAATTCCAACTTGAACAGATGATGTTGAGCACTACTAAAGTGTACCCCGAACTGGATTGTCCTACAGCAGCTACTGCTCCTGTGATTGACCCTCTGTCATCTCCACCATATGAGGGAGATAGGCGACCGACGTCGCCATATAATTGGCAACGGGAAGGAGGAAGGGGTGACCTTAGAGGGAAGCTCTCGCCATCCTGCACCAGAAGAGGGATGCTGTATGATGGGGGTTGCTCCGCCGTTCCGCATCCAAAGTCCTCGGATGGGGAGGAGGGGGTGCCCCATATGCCAATGATTGAATGTCCTAATCCCTAATCACTGGTGAGGATGAGGAACCTACTGTCCTCGTTTACCGCCCATGGAAATTAACTGAGTTGGCGGCAGTTATTGGGGAGCTGCCAAACCCCAAAACCAATGGGCACAAGTACACAACAGCCCTGAGACGGCTGGTAGCAAAAAGCAGACCCACAGGCGGAGAGCTAGAGACTATTTTTATAAAGACTTTGAACCATGATTCCAGCTACCTCTCTCAATACACCAATACACTTAATTTTTATTAAATATTTCTAATAATACTACTGATAAACAGCATGTTCTAAATCTATAACACAGACTGAGACATTATAAACTGGGTCGGTTTTCAATCTCCTTAATGATGAGTTGTCTAACAGGTTGCCTCTCAGTGTGATACCCATGAAGGGACACCCTCGTTACTAACCATGGAGCATTGGTCACAGTCAATCACCCAAATGATAATGAATGTGCCATGTGGAAAGAAAGACTATACCTGAAGATGTCATAACCAATCACCAACCTGCAAAGCACACTTCTTTGCTCACCCAATCCTCTTCTCTCACTCCATTGAACTTTGCAATCTAACAACAATACCAATCAGGTGATTGCAGCCATTGCCATCTGAGTCAGGACTTGAACAATAATTCATGGTACCATACTGAAGGATTGAGTCTCTACATGAACAGAATGCTACCCAGGTTTCCCTCTGCAACAAAGGAAATATTGTGGCCTGCAAACCAGTTGTTATTTTGCTTGATCAACAAAATCAATACAGTTGGACCTTTCTGTCAACAACTTGAATATCTTACAGCAAAATTCTATAGCCAGGACAAACTGAGCAAACCTTATCCAGCTCACTTGCACTTCCAGACCTAATTCAGACACTGTGGACAGGCTGTTTTTAATAATCGAAGTTCAGTATGATGCTAACTTTCTAAAGAGCCGTCCTCAGCAGCAGCTAAGCTCCCTCTCTCCATTTATAAAGTTTAATTCACAACAGGAACAGAATATTGTCTTTAGGAATATTAATCTGATTAACTATATGAGGTCAATAGTACTTACTGTACAAGGTAAAAAATGTTATAGTCGACATATTTTAACTCTGTTATTAATTCCTATGTATGTAATCCCTGGGTGAATAATCAACCATTTGCATCATGGCAGATCATTTAAATATTATTACTCTTGCTGGATTACTATGTATGTTTTGGTGTAAACAGGGATTACAGTCAATCACAGGCTACAAGGGCTGAACCACTTCTATGCCCGCTTTGATGCTCTGAGCACGGGCAATGCTGAGAAGACCCCAAGTGTGCAGGGCGAGTTTGTTCTGAAACTCTCAGAGCAGGAAGTGCAGAAGACTCTTAGCAGGGTCAAAATCTGTAAGGCTGCAGGGCCTGATGGGATACCACCTCGAGTCCTAAGGACATGTGCAGCCCAGCTGACCACAGTGTTTACGGACATCTTTAACTCCTCCCTGTCACAGTCTATGGTCCCCACCTGCTTTAAAAAAAACACTATTGTTCCAACCCCCAAAAAGACAAAAGTGACATGCCTGAATGATTACCGCCCAGTACCATTAACATCTGTGGTGATGAAATCCCTGGAGAAGCTGGTGTTGTCACACATCAACTCCTCCATCACAGAGTCCCTGGACCCCTTGCAGTTCGCCTACCAGAACAACAGATCAGT